CCATAACACTGAATACTAAGTTCATTGAAAGAGTGAGTAAATTTAAATACCTGGGATCGTGGCTTTTTGAAGACTGGGCATCGGACAGGGAAGTAAAATGTCGCATTGAGCAAGCTCGACAAGCTTTCGTAAAATTCAAGAAGGTACTGACTTGTTCTGAGTTCGATCTTCAACTGAGACTAAGGTTTACTAAGTGCTACGTGTGGTCCGTGCTGCTATATGGCGTAGAGGGTGGACACTCAAAACGAGGGATATAAACAGATTAGAAGCTTTCGAAATGTGGCTCTATCGCCGTATCCTAAAAATATCATGGACAGCGAAAATCACAAATATAGATGTCCTTAAAAGAATAAACCAAGAACGCCAACTTTTCGAAACCATCAAGAAAAGGAAAACGGCGTATCTAGGTCACATCATGCGAAATGAAAAATTCCAGTTCCTCCAACTTATAATCGAGAGTAAAATTGAAGGCAAGAGAGGAATGGGACGCAACAAAAAGTCCTGGCTCCGAAACATAAGGCAATGGACAGGGATTAACGACATACAATCTCTGATACATATTGCAAGAAATAGGGAATTAATGGAAAATGTGATCGCTAACATCCATTAGTGGATTTGCATCTGAAGAAGAAGAAGAATCTCAAACTTCCCTCAATTGTTGTATATTTTGGCACTTTTGGTAACTATTACAACTAGTTGAGTCAAAGTTGAGTTCTTTGGTGAACCTCGAACAAAACATTTTTCCTTCTATTAACTCTTCTTTCTAGATTCGGGATATCCAGGAGTTGTTTGTGTTTGACAGCATATTTGGTTATCATTTTTTCTACATTTTTTATTTTTAGATTTCGATAGATGTGTAACGAATATTTTGCCTTCCACATAGGGTATTATTATGTGGGGTTGAAAATTGGGGAAAGAAATTATTGGGGTGGAGATAGGGCAAGCAAAACAAATCGAAACTTATGCGAACGGCCACTCAGAGTTTGTTTGGAGAACTGGGTCGGGGATAAGTGAATGATAAGGGTGTTGGATTGGGGCAACTACAAACATGAAATAAAGAATGAAACTTACATGAATCTCCTGGAACAAACAAAACACAAGAAGATCATCTAGCTACTTAAAAAAGGACGCCGATTTGATGACGCCATCCTGCTGGATGAACGAAAAAAGGATCTTTCTTCCTGGGTTTCACTAACTGTTACTTTTACTTTAAATTTCTGAGATTGTGAACTGGAATTATACTCTTATCTCTGCCACACGAACGCATTCATCTTCACTGCGAATTATTTTGAAACAGCTTCTTAAAGACAAACAAATTGAGGTTGAAATTGGGGTAATGGACACAAAATTTAAAGCTCAGCTTCTTAAAAAACTGGAAACATGTAGGTATTGTTCAAAGTTTTTGCAAATGCCGTTTTATAAAGATCTCAGATGAGGAACGACATAAAACAAAATAGTGGTTACTCCTATTAAAATTGACACATTACTTTGAGTATAAATAACTTTTTTTTAACAAATTTGCCGGTTTTTTAACACCGACACTCGTAGCGTCTTGACTCAATGACCAATCTTTCAAACTTACCTCATTTTGACCTCGATCTCCTGTATACCCGGCTTCTATCGTTTCCTTACTCTATGTACCAGTCTTTGCAACGGGCCAACCCAAAATTCTTGTCAAATACGTACACATCGTATAATAAATGACCTTGAATCATTGCTTGCTTTTAAAATTTCAGGACTAACATGTACAAATAAATATAACCATCTGTTTTTATCACTTGAAATCTTTCTTTTGGAATTTCGAGTGTAAACAAATACAGCAAATTTTATATATAGCCCAGGAGCGTACCAAAAATTTTTTATTACTTGAATATTCGATAGTTAAGGCATTTTCTATATGCTACAGATGAAACAAACTTTTTTCACTATTTTTTGTTACAAAACCTTTGGATTATTACAGAGTTCTTCTTCTTAACATATCCTCAGAGTTGGGCACCATATGTCCATACTAGTCTAAATGTTTGTTTTTAGATCAGTTGATGGTATAGAATTTCTTCTAACATCCAAGAAAATTTTTACCTCTTCTCTCTTCTGCTTTGCATGGACTTTCCAAAACTCTGTGTTTTTAAATATACTCCAAGGTATTTAGCAGAATATGTAACAAGTGTCTTTGTATTATCTATTCTGATAAACTGATACCGTTTTCGTTTATTATACCGTATCTACCACCATGTCTCGCATCTTGCCAAATGCTGCCCATCCCAAGCCTATGCGACGCTGGATCTCACAAGTTTGATTTTCTTTTCCTGTTCTAATTTCATGCCCTAAATAGATATAACTAAAGACATGATGTACTTCGTTCCCATCTACCCCCATAACATCACTTGGAACTAAATTGGTCATGTATTTTGTTTTTTCAAAGTTTATGTTCACGCCTATTTGTTCTATTGCCAGTTTTATTTCTTCCATCATTTTGTGAGCTTCATTTAAACTCTCGGCTATAATGACAATATCATCTACAAAGCGCAAGTGGCTTAAGTATTCACCATCAATATTTATTCCCCTTTTAGCCCAATCTAGTGTTTTAAAGGCATATTCCAGAGCTGCAGTGAATAGTTTGGTGGAGATGGTGTCGTCATGTCTAATTCCTCGCTCCCGAAAAGGAACGCTACCGATTTGCTTGAAGAAAATGGTTTACAACCAATGCATACTGCCAGTAATAACATATGGTTCCGAAACAATAACTTTAACCAAACATTCTGCAAATAAATTGAGAGTAACCCAAAGAAAAATGGAAAGAGCAATGTTGGGAATAACTAGAAGAGATATAGTACCAAATAGGATAGTGAGAGAGAGGACTAAAGTGACAGATGTCATAGAAAAAATTGCACAAGCTAAATGAAGATGGGCTGGACATATAGCACGTTTAAATAATAATGGGTGGACCAAAAGAGTCATAGAATGGAGACCTAGAGAAGACAAAAGACACCGCGGCAGACCACCAAAAAGATGGATGAACGACTTGAGAAAAACAGTCGGAAATTGGATACAGAAGGCGCAAGATAGAGAACAGTAAAAGAACATGGAGGACACCTATATCCAACAGTGGATGCAAGAGGTTGAGGAATGACCACCATGTCAGGAATATCATTGGTATTGTTATCGCGTGTCTTAGTTAGTGGAAGCACCTAGGGAGCCGATATGGAGTTGTTTCATTATACAGACCCTAACCTCCCTATGATGACATGATGCCCAAATAAAAAACACGAGCTTACGACATAGGCTCCCACTGAGCTTAGTCAAAAGCTCCACACTAGCAGCTAATGGTATCATCAGCTGATTTTGCAGTTCCTGACACTGTTCAGTGTAGGAGGTTTCAGTGATCGAAAAGTTGTCAAAGCTACTGAGGCCCCGGAGTAGCCACGCAGTTACTCCCTGCCCTACTGCATTTGAAACATACACCACGTAGCCGCAGGCATACCCTCTACTAAGAAACCGACTGGCAAATGATTATAGGTTACTGATAGCCTAGACGAGGACGAAGTCGTTGAAGTCGAAGGTGCTGTGATGAAAGACAATACTTGCAGAAGAAGAAGATGACTACCGGAAGCTACTAAGCTGTGTAGTAAATTAGGTACTCATTTTATTTTCGATTTGTTTTCATAAACTTTTTTCGACCGATTTATAAACATTTATTTCTTTAATTGTACTAATGTAAATGTATTGTATTTTCTACTATAAATATGTTGTTTTTAAATCAACTTCAAGTAAAAGAGTCTTCAAATTTATGATTGACTGATGGACTTGGAAAAGCACATATCAAGACGAAATAAAGTGTCTTAAAAGGGTGCATTTTTCAAGCCATGGGTAGTCATGCCTAGCCCTACTCTAGCTCCTATGTAGGGTCCCTACACCCTGGGGCCTCCTTCACGGGGCTCTGCTCCCTGCTTGTCCTTAGAATCTTGTGCTAGAACCGTTTAAACACCAAACCGAGTTTCATTTGTGAGAAATGAACCAACCCATCAAATTGAGATAGAGAGCAGAGGAAAATTGACTGGGCGAAGTCCACTGTAGAGCACCTACGCAGCCGACATGGAGCAGATATGGAGATATTTCTTTATGAAGAACCTAACCTTCCCATGGTGACAGTGTATAAGAGGCAACACTACTTTGTGCATTGAGTACCTATCCCCTCGTTTAACTCTAAATAATTTGTTTAAGATAAAGGATTCTAGTACTTGTATTAAAGTTTAGAGGCTTGTGTTAAATCCAGAAATATGAATGAACAGGCTAGCTATTCCACTGCTTTTTCTATTATATTCGTTACTCCGTGAACCTGGTCTATAGTCGAGTGACTTTCTCTGCAGCCCAACAAGATCACCTTTTTTCAATTTTATTTTAAGCCTTTTAGTAAAAGATTTTCAAACAGTTTCAACAGTACAGGTAGTAGAGATATGGGTCTGCAATGAAATTATATTCCGTAGTTTTTCAGGCTTCGCTTTCATTACAACTTTTGCTACTTTTCATTGTATTGAAGCATATGTCAGTCTCAATGGGGCATTTCTTAGATAACTTATTTACTATTTGACTGACACATAAATATAGATTTTCATTATTCGTAATCAAATAACACATCCTGATTCCTTGATTCGTAGCAACAAAATAAATCTTCGCGCTAAAACTGTGACGACCGTTATAGCTCCAATAACATAAATATTATCAAGGTTATTATTTTTTTTTAAGATTTAAAGTTGTTCGCTATACATCGAGCAATAACAAAAAAATTTCGTTAAAAATAATATTAGTCATTCTAATAGGTATAATGATTTTACAACTGTTAAAACTCTACTAGAAACTGGTATTTTCTCCCTATTCATACTAGCCATTTCACCTAAAATCCTATTTTGACTATCACTTTAATTGTCACACTTTTATTCAACAGCAAATCCAGATTCACCATGATATCAATTAATTTTAATAGCATAAATTTTATAACTTACCTCCTATACTAGCGTTGTAGGCTACACCGATCCCGCAGAATTGATTGTAAGCTACTGCTGCAACCTCTCCTGCACATCTCGTTCCATGTTTATTATCGCCGTTATCTTGAGGCATGGGATCATCGTCGTTTCCATTGATGTCAGTACTGGCTAGCGGATCCTAAAACAAGAAAATGGTGATAATAAAATGCTGATAAAAAAGAAACGATCATATAATAAAAATAATGAAGTTTTTGTAAGGAGACTTTTTGAGAGTATAAATACAAGAGATCTATAATTGCTTGATGGAAAACCATGATAAGTCAGTATGTTAACATAAAACAAACACTGTATCTAGAACTATATTAGAATAATGAGGACCAATAGTTTCAATAAAACATTAAAAAAAAGGACAACAATATAGAAAAGCAGTATTTATCATACAATATGCTTTTGTCAGTTGGAACTATATTGTTTATATTAAGACAAGGACAAACTGTTTTTTTGAAGCTCAATTTCCTATGAATAATGTGCAATCAGTACTGCAGGATTAAAGCATTAACGATTTTATTATCATTTGCAACTTCATACTTGCACTAAAAAGGCTTTTCTGTAGTTTCAGTAATAAATAAAGGTTTAAAGTAGACGTAGAGAACAAAATGAGAACAGAAAAAACAGCTTTGCTTAGAAAAGCAAGCACATCCTTCTCATTAGCCATCTAGCAGGATATATATTTTTTTTATTTTTATACTTATGTTTTTATTTTTCTCCTATTTTCTAATAAAAATTATAAATGTTCAAATAGTGTTTTTCTAAGCTGTTACAGACTAAAATTGGTAAGCACTTTTGAGGGCTGAGTTAAGGAGCGTCGTAAAAACATAGCAAAGTCCCACGGGCCTTACAGAACAAATAAGTTTTAGAAGCTCTTGATTAAGAAACTTCTTCTTCTTCAAGTACCACTCCTATCGGAGATTGGAAATCATTCTGGTAATTATAACTTTATTGGTTACTCGCCTGAATAGTTCAATTGAACTGCATCCAAACCATTCACGGAGATTGCGTAGCCACGAGATTTTACGTCTTCCTACGCTTCTTCTACCTTTGATTTTACCCTGCATTATACTCCTTAGTAGTTCGTACTTTTCACCTCTCATGATGTGCCGCAAGTATTCCAACTTCCTGATTTTTATGGAATTTAAAACTTCGCATTGTTTTCCTAGTTGTTCGAGAACTTGTTCGTTTGTTTTGCGATCCATCCATGATATTTTCAAAATACGTCGGTAACACCACATTTCGAATGCTTCTAGGTTTTTAATGTTGGATTTTTTAAGTGTCCAAGCTTCAACTCCATACAAAAGGGTAGAGAAACTATAACATCTAAGCATTCTTATCTGGAGCGATATATTAATATCGCGATTACAAAAAAGTTTTCTTATTCTATTAAAAGTTGACCGAGCAATTTCAATGCGGCATCTTATTTCTTTTGTCTGATCAGTATCTTCTGTGATGCATGCTCCAAGGTATTTGTACGAAGATATTTGTTCAATATCTGTATTATCTAGTACTAGCTTAACTTTGATGGTTTTCTTGGTTTTCTTAAAATTGATTTTTAGTCCATAATCGTTGCAATATATATTTAGTTGTTCAGCAAGGTGTTGCAGTTCTTCTAGTGTTCCTGCCAGAAGGACGATGTCGTCAGCATATCTTATGTTATTAAGTGGTTCACCGTTTATTATAAGGCCCTCACTGATCTCGGCAAGCGCTAATTCTGAGATGGCTTCACTGTATAAATTGAATATCAAGGGTGATAAAATACACCCTTGGCGGACCTCACGGCGAATCTAGATATCCTTGGTCAGTTCGTTTTCAACTTTCACTTTTACTGTTTGATTGCAATAGAGGTTACAGATGATTCTAATATCTCTACTGTCTATGTTTTTATTTAATAAAATTTCTTTAAGTCGATTATGCTGCACTCTGTCAAATGCCTTCCCAAAATCAATGAAACAGGCATATACTTCCTGATTAATATCTAAGCATCTCTGCGAAATAACACTTAATGCAAACAGTGCATCTCGTGTTCCCAGTCCTTTCCTAAATCCCATTTGTGTATTACGTATGCCTTTATCTAATTTCTTATGTATTCTATTGTAAATTACTTTTAAAAACAATTTCCAGACATGACTCATTAAAGCTATGGTGCGATGTTCATTGCACTCCTTTGCATTGGCTTTTTTGGGAAGCAGTAAGAAGCAGTGAGAAGCAATAAGAAACTAATGACTTTGATTTTAGCAATATTTTAGTTTAGAAAAAAAAATGCTCAATAATCATATGGATTGATCAGATAGTAATGTTCATAGGCATGTTATTGGTGTATTAAAAAAATGTTTTGGAATGTAGGATTTTTATATAACTTTTGGAAATTTCAAAGTAACAATATATGACAATATTGACTTGATTTGGGTACCATCCAGCGGCAATTCTCCAATTTTTACATATGTAACTAGGTCTTCTGGCAAGTCTTCTTTAGTCTTCGTTGCTCCATTGATTACTAATATAATTCATTCATAATTTGACTGGGGTGCATTGAATTAACAATTTTGGCCTTATTGGCGTGAAGTGATATGACATCTTTTACGTTTGATGCTCCTAGGTCATTGTAGCTGGTTGCATTGCGCACATATCAAGGGTCGTTAGCTACCATACGCAGTGTTTAAAAGCTAGCTACAGCCTCAGAGTTCTACGTCGTAAGTCTATATTGGTTTTAGTATGAATTTATAAAGCAGTATTTTGTTATCCAATGAGAGTTGTGACTTTCTGCCAAGTAACTAATTCATTTGTTTTATTTTATATTGAGTTTTTTTGGCGATAATGTGTTGCTTCTAGCTCAGCTTTAGGTCCAAATGTAATCCAAGATATTTCACAACGTATCTAACAGGAATGAGGGCATTGTTAAGACTAGACTAACTTGTGGACAAGTACGTCCTTTTGTTTTTAATGTGTTTTGGGCTGATTTTTCGTTGAATTAAATTTTCCATTTTATTAACCAATTCTTTAATGTATGCAAGTAATTTTAAAGTAAGTATTGCAGCCTTTCAGATGCTATATCTAAGTCTTTGTTTGAAACTAAAACGGCTGTATCATCGGCAAAAGTCGCCACTGTGATGTAATCTGTAATAGGTATGTCAGCAGTAAAGATTAGCTACTGAGGACACTTCCCTAAGGAACTCCGGATTGGATTGAGTGAGGTTGAAAAATCATTGATTTTTACTTGGAACGAACGTTTGTTAATATAGGACTTCAGGATAATGTACATGTCGCTTGGGAGTAAAGATTTTAATTTATATAGCAAACCGTTGTGCCAGACTTTATCAAAAGTCTACTAAATATGGAGAAATACTGAACAGCATATAGCCTTTTTTTTCACACTTTTCTTACTTTTATTTACTATTCTATGACTCGGTTGGAGTGTTGAATATTATTGACGAAAACCAAACTGATATTCGGGTATTATGTTCTCGAGTGTTACAGTTTCGCTTATTCTATATAGCAGGAGTATTTCTAATATCTTGGACATCAAGGGTAACAAGCTTACTGGAAGATAGGAAGAAATTTTCGTAGATAATTTACCTAGCTTTCTAATCATTATAATATGAAGATATTTTCACTGGATTAAAAAATAGCTTAACGATGAAATAGTATCCTGGGGCTTTGTGTATCGAATAGGTAGAATGGGTAGAATTGGTAGTGATAGTTGGCAAGGTGCATCTAGATCAGAGATGCTCAGACCTGTAGTATTTATGGTCTACCACAAACTATTTAGAAAACAAGCAATCAACTACCGACTACTGCAACTAGGCTAGAGCATAAATATACTTAGACTTATAAAAATTCCTTGATCATAAATGCTTATGAAGGCATCTAATATTAAAATTTGTAAACAAAAATTTTCCTAACTCACGAATTTCAGTGCTTCGATTAAATTAACAATCTTTGTGGCAATGTCTATCACATCATTCAGAATTAGTATCTGTTAACATAGAACTTGCTGTTAATACTTCTTCTTTCATGTCAAGAAAGACCATCCGGATGAACATACATAACTGGGCAGTATCAGTCATATCGATGAACACATCAAACTGAAAGAAAAGTGTATAAATATCCAAAATATCCCTTTTCAGTTGGGATTCTAAATCTTTGCTCATGATCTCAATTCGCTTGCTAATAGTTGTATGAGATTACTGGGCATCTTTAATAGCAGATATAATCTGTGTTTTATTTTTAAGTCATCAAATAATACATTAGCTGCTTCAATAAATGCTTATTTCACTGCGGTTCCATCTTCGAAATGTTTCTTGTGGTGTGCCAGTATGTTAGAAAATTTTAAAACACGCGATTATTGCAGCTACTTATTATATGGCTAGTCTATAGAAAATGGATTGTTCTCTTCTTAAACTACTTTTCAAATCTCCGAAATTTTTGTCTTTTTAACTTACTATTTGACGGAAACTCATTTTCATACTTTTTATATAGGGCTTTATAATAACTTTCTAAGTTCTCAATTACGGGTCGTGCCACTGAAGATTCGACAAACGAGTAAAATGCATTTATCCTTAAACATATGCATATACAAATTAAAAAATTCCTCATGTGTTGACTCATCATCATCATCATCATCATTCAGCCCATACTCGTCCACTGCTGAACATAGGCCTCCCGTAGTTCACCCCACAAATTTCTGTCCTGAGCCGCCTGCATCCAATTTTGATGTGTCCGTTTCAGATCATCCGTCCATCTTGTTGGTGGTCGTCCTCTATTTCTAAAGGCATCTTGTCTGGGTCTCCACTCAAGAATGCGTTTTGTCCATCTGCCGTCCTTCGTTCTCGCGACGTGCCCTGCCCAGTTCCATTTTAAGGTTGATATTCTTTTGATTGCGTCGGTTACTTACTGATGTTTGTTCTATACTTGTTCCAGCTATGTTGATGTTCTCACTCAGAACAAGGTTTGTCATCACTTGTGTTTTTGAGTTATTGATCTTTAAACCCACTTGTGTAGAGGCATGGTAGAGTCTTTCGCACATTTCGATGGCATGATCTATGCGGTCTGTTATCAGGACTATATCGTCCGCGAACCTGAGGTGACTAAGCTGCTCTCCATTTATGTTTATGCCCTTTTCGTCTA